AAAGATTTCAATTTCAAGCTTCATTTTGAGACTTATTAAAATTAATGATAATTTATAGAGTAAATATTGTTCCTGGCTGATCATCATTAATTTGTAATCATTCTGTATTAGATTTGATTGCTGGGGGAGGGGGGGGGGGCTTTTAAGCAATAATTCATTAATATAAATACCAGATATTCGCTTTTCCTTTTTTACTGAACTTAGTCGCGGCAGTAATTACACAATTCTTGAAATCAAAATGGAGTATTTCATAAATAATAGAAAGATTGTGATGGATCTTGCTAACATCAGCGTTGAATCTCATTGTGGTGCCATGAAGGTCAATGTCAATTAACATCAGGAGGTTGCCATGGAGATAATTAAAGGTCAATGCTGAGGGTCCTTATATGAAGAGAAAGGACTTCAGCTATAGGTAAAACAGTTTACCAGTAGACACTCATAAAGAATAAAAGCAATTATGACTTTCACTTCAACATTGGCGGAGTTGAACCTCTTCTTGTTTCTCATGTGTCAAGGAAGATAACTCTTATCTGTGTCTATGAATTTTTCACAAACAATTTACAAAATTGATCTAAATGTCCCAGGATTTCTTATACAATCTGCATGAGTCTGTAGGAGCTTAAGCTGGGAGACCACAATAATCTACAAAAATATGCATAATTGTTTTAAAATTGTACACCTTTGCATGCATAGCCAAAAAGGTAATTATAATACTTTAAGCTCCCTGAAAGATTGGAAAATCAAGGATGTTAAATCAATAACTTTCTGTTTAAAAAAAATCAAGACTTCATAAAATTGTAAAATCTCTAAAATACATTACCATTACCAAAATTTATAAGTCATTCTATTAATTTAAATTCAGACACAAAGAGAGAAAAATGGATGTTTTAATTAGGAATGATATAAATGGATTTTTGGAGAAAAAAAAGCTTCATCATGAACATCATCAGGTTATGGATATTGAAATTAAATGATGCTGTCTAATGCCTTTACTTCACATTACATTCTCCTATATTATCATTAATAGTGGAAATCAAAGGCTCATGAAAAATAGGTGATATGGAAAAATAAAGATTCAAAACTAATCCTTATTGTTTAGAAACTGAGTTCATACATTATAGGAATCAATTATTAATGAGTCTGAAATGATATCTATAGTTTATTATTGCACAAAGTCAGGTTTTTGTATCAATTATTCATTTTGTCAAAGTCATTGACAAAATCAATCGGTAAATACATTGAATTTGAAACATTACCTCTTTTGGTGATTTATGAGTATGGGGAGGAGAATTGATCGTTTTGGTTGTAATTAACTACCTTTGTGAGAGATTGAACCAAAGAATAGAATTAAATATTTATAATTAATATAGATGTTCACATTGGATTTTATGCTCTTTAGCCTTGTAAGTGCAGGTGCTCTGTGAACTCTGAACATTGTGTGATTCAAGACTTCATAAATAAAATAAAATTTTACTCTAGCTATCACAGATTTCAAAAAAAAAATTAACTCCATGCAGTCTTTTATACCTTAACTAACATTTCACCTCTGTATAAAATCAATAAAGTTTTTAAATGGAATTTTATTATTCCAATAAACATTATTAAATTGGGCACCTTATGTTACCCTTTCTGATGATCATCTTGAACCAATACAAGTTTTTCTGAAACCTGTATATTAATTGGTACAGTAGTACTTGGATATAAGGAAGTCAGTGAAACTTCAAATTTGACCTTTATATATTAATACTGAGGCTTTTTATATTTGTATCAGGAATACAGAGCAAAGTCTCTTTTAGGATTCATAAAAAATCCCTAATAATCGAGATTTCCTTAAATTAAGTGAGTTCTTTATAACCAATTTTACCATACATATTAGACCAATAAATCTCAGACAAACTTGGAGGTCATGACCCTCAGTAAATTACTGATCTGAACAATGAACAGTAATATGCACAAAGGAAGCTAATAGAGAGAAGATACTGAGTAATTAACTGTGTGACACTTAGTTACAATCAATAATATAGAAGGAAAATGGATGTTACACAACCATTCTTTTCAGATAAGAAAATATTAATTATCAGCATTTAACAAATTGCCATTGGTTCAAGATCAATGATGAATTTCTTTTCTTGTGGTTTGGGCCATGGATATCAGCCTGGATAGCTCGGTTGATGGAGTGCCTGACTGGTGATGCGGGGGTTCCGGGTTCAATTCCCTGTCCAGCCATAAATTGTCTTCTTTCTTGTTACATCGGTTCAGTTCACCACCACTGGAATTGCAGGTGAGGCTCCTAGTGGGGGCAAAAAGAGCTTGGGTTGTGTCTTTGAGGGCAAAGACAATTTAAGGAGGGAGGAATTTAATGGTTTGGTCCATTGATATCGGCCTGGATGACTCAGTTGGTGGAGTGCCTGGCTGGTGATGCGAGGGCCCTGGGTTCAATTCCCAGTCCAGCCATATATTAATTTTTCTTCTTTCCTGTTACAATTGAAATTTTATATTTGCCATCTGATGGCCATATACAAGAGGTACAAGGTGAATAGGCATTTGTTTGGGGAGGGGTAAAGAGGCTGGGGAGGGGATGATTTTGTTTTGCATATATGCAGGTCTCTTTTTTAAGTTGCTTTAGATTGATGTAAAAAAAAATGAGATGTGAAGTCGTAGCTCTAAGCAGTATGTGATTGGGTACTTAGCAGCATCAAATACATGTAGTTTCCCTGTGTAGTGGCTGTCTTAGCATAACATTCAAAATCCTCAACTCTATATTGTAGATCTACAAAACCACTATAATCCATTTGTTAACCACCCATGATCTAGTCAATCGCAATTTCTCCCTCCATGTTACTACAAGCATTTTATAACATTTAAAGCTTCTTACATAATACTGTATAAGGGAATTTTTAGCGACATGGAAATTAATCAATTTGTCCCAAAGAACCAGTTTTTAATTTTAGTGTGAAGTATTATTTTAGTGATTTCATGATGCCTAGAAAAATAATGGTAATGCAGAATGAATTGTTAGAGGTCCTTAATTTTTTGGATTTTTTACACTCTCAGTAAAAAGACAAAAATTGAATCCCAGCTAAAATTTCTGCTTAATGTGTAATGTGTGATAGCTATAGAGTAATTTTTATTGACCTCATACAAACACACTCTGTCAGACTTATTGATTCTATGCAAGTTTGTTAAACTTTTTAAATGTCTGTTTTTGTTCAAGAATTTAAGTTTTGAATAAATCTTGTTGACAGAGTGAAAATGAAATTTGTCTATTTAATCTTTGATTTATATTGAAGTCTGGCAAAACATATGTTGAAGATATTCAAATGACAGTCTTAGAAAACAATATTCAATTCCTTTTTTTATCCCAATGTACAGGCATATCTGGAATGGTGTACTCATAATGTACACTCAATACTTCAACAGACGTCATAAAAAGAATTCCTGATCTACATAGAAAGATTTTAGAAGACATAAATATCAAGACAGAGAATAAATTCCTTTTAACATCACACATATGTATAATGTATCCAGAGGAATATTTAAAGATCAAAAGTGAAATAAAAGAGAAATACTTAAGGTACAGGGTTTTAAACTCGGATAAGTTTTTCACCAGGTGAAATTTAAATCCTATTTGTTATGGCTACCCAATGAATCCCCTCTCATTGCTAGGAATACACACAATCACTGAAAAACCTAAACTAGGGCACCAGAGTTTAATATACCTTCACAATTTTGATTTACCCGTTAATCCATTTCTCGAAAAATTGTTTGAACTTGGATCAGTAATGGGGAAGGTATACATGTAACTGAAATTTTAATGGCCGTGATCTTTACTTTTCAGTGTATCTTATTGGAGTTGCAATTGTGTGTTGTTTATTGGTCCATTGCCAAATATAATGCATTTAAGTGCATACTTCAATATCATAAATCTCGACTGGAGTGTATTTTTACACTCTATTACTCCGAATGATGACAGAATTTTTTACGCATTACATAAGCATGTTCAATGCATGCATGCATGCAGCATAAAGAAAATTAAAAGCTTTTTAAATATAATTATAGTTTCCATTTTAACTTCTTTTGCTTTTAAGGCTAATAATGTGACATATATATATGTTGATTTGATGACAAGGGATCGAAGTACCTATATTGATTTTGTTGCTTTTTTTCTATCAAACTATGTGAGTTTTTAAATGGTGATAAACAGGCTTCAACTAGCACTTAAGTGCAGACATGGTACATGTATTTAATAACCAGAAATGTCAAACTGCATTGTGCTAAACGCCAGAGGCATTTTTTTCCATCTTCATAAAGGAACTAATTTCTCTCGTTGCTAATTACTTTGACTCCCCGATGCAAAATCAAATATTCATGAAAAACCGAGCAGATGAATCTGCATGGTTGATGAATGATCTTATGATACTGTTAACTGTTGTAAGCAATCGAGAGTAAATCATGCTGAAAAAAATTAGGTTTTCACATGCATTCAAAGTTTCTAACTAGTTAGATATTAACATGCATCAAGTAGGCTTTGAGATCCTCCTATACATAGAGAAATGCTGCATAATTTAGTAGGCAATAATAATTTCAGCTGCAAGTTTTGCCAGAAAACATGTTATGTTTGTTCATGGGATCAACCCGAGGGGATACATTCATTCAGTATGCACATAATGCGAAAAGATTTGAACATCCAAGTATTCTTGGTTACATTTTTCCCTTTTTGATCACATATATATGTACTATGATTTGTGATAAATTTTCTATATGGTCATGCACAATCATTCCTAGAAGGCAATAAATGAAACTTGGAGAAAAATTCAGTGCAAGTCCTCAAATTTTCACCAAAAAATTCTGAACATTTTGATACTCTTTCAGAATTTTTATGATAATTTTCAACATTTGATCTCTCCTGTCTTCACCATGCAAAAATATTACACAATATTCTAATCTCACTCACTTTGATATTTATTGATTCAGGGGAAAAAGAAAACACAAGCCAGACATCGTGTTTCAACAATGCATATTTTATTCCGTTAGTTGTTGTTACAGAAACTGTGGAACCAATCACTGACATTATGCTGCTGTGTCATGTACAGGGGCAGATAACTCTCTAGGTATCATTCTGACTCTAATATTAACAGAAAGACGGAACATTGAGCAAAATACACAACAATCAAGAATTGTCAAGTTCTTTTTATAGCAGCAATTTTACTGGACAATATTAGCACACAGTTAGAGTCTATGCTGGGGGAATTTTAAAAATTCCTTGAAAAAAGTCTGTATTCGAAAAAAAGTTTGACAATTCTCTTACTGTTTAATAGGAAGAAAATATAATAATGAATGTTCATTTATCTATTAATAAATACTTAAGTTTTGGCAAACAGAATTTGTAAGCTGGTGATTTTGTTTAAAATAATTTCAATTAACACAACCATTAATGATACAGTGCAGACATGATCACAAAGAGAGAAATATAGAAGAAATTCAGAAAAAAGTAGGGGAGATAATTCACTGTTTTTGTCAACACAAAACTCAAACAAGTGACTTTGTATATAGATATAGAAAAATATAAAACAAAGTTTTTAAAAATGACAATAATACTATATCACATAGAAATCTTTGTACAATGAAAAATATTACATACAAATAATATTTATAATACAACTGACATATATTAAGTCACAATCATACGATGATATAATGCAGATATGGCTTAAGTTAAACACAATTCACTCCTGAGGCTTTTCAGTCTGTGTTCTTTTACACTACTTCAGGCTAATCTAAACAGCATAATACTTCAATGTAATTAATTCCCTGTTTGCATCCTAATACTGTTTTTATAATTACCAACCTAAGTTCAATTTTTTAAAAATAATTATTCATATTTGAAACTTAAAACAAAATGCTGGTAATATTTCAAAAAAAAAAATTGTTCAACAAAATTTATCACAGCCTTTGAAGATACAAACATACAAAACACAATTCATTTCTAGATGAAGAATATGGATGGGAAAAAAATCACATTTTTATCTTGTAAAACTGTGCTAAGATAAAGTAAATAAAATTGTTAAGTATTTTTGATTGGGAAACGTGTTCCAATTCATAAGACTCGGTATATCTTTCAAAATAATCCATAAAAATGATCCTAGAGAAAATGAAATAAGGAATAAATGTCTGTAATCTTTAATCGGCCTGATCAACAATAAGAGGAGCTAAGTATTGACTGTGACGAATTCCGAAGGAGAATTCGGGCATCTTCTTTTTGTGTGTCCAGACCTGTTGAACGAAAAAATTGAAATTAGTTTTTTTCAAAATATTTCCACAATGCATTGTATTTTTAGACCTTTGTTTTAGATTGTCCAAGATAAATTAACTTTCCAGCACAAATTCTTCGCAACCATCTACCAAATTTATTTAAAAATTCCATTTTTTCGTTTTTGTTACTTTACTCTCTGTTCTATCAATTCTATCTTTTTTAATAAATCTTATGTTACAGAGGTGGATCTTACATTTTGTGGGGAGTGAGCACCGGGTCCTGGTTTGCGAGTGGTGTCTCCAGGCATGACATTTCGGCTGGTCATACTGTATAGTGGAGCCTTATCCTTGTAAATGCTGGGATCAGCAGTGTCATAAGTTCCTGGTCCAGGTGTCTGTAAAAATTAAAACAGATAAAGTAATATCATAATTTCTTTTAGATGCTTGGAAGAAATGTGAAATGTTACTACTCAGGAGTTTTTTTTTTTGTTTTTGTGGTTCCATTAGTGACAGACATTATAAAATCTATATTTTGTTTGCTGTAAAGATGAGTGATTTTATATTCGCTCAGGGGGTTTCTAAAGAAAATATCAATACGGAAAACAAACTCTTTATTTTATAAATGGAAGTTTATTATTAGATTTCTTCAAGATTGGAGGGAAGACTAGACACTGTTTATTGAAGCAGCAAGAGTGGAACTTCAGACTGTTTATTGACCACTTCTCATGATTTACTTCTATCAAGTAGTCAACAACATTTTGTTTACTAAATATGTAGAAAGTAAACAAACTCTCATTTAGACACATTAGTACTTTAAATATATTCAAACATAGACTTTTAAGAATATAAGTAAATTTAATTTCTGAAGAGTCTGCTTATCAGTGACCACAAGGGTGATACATTAGGTAAAACAGACCATGCAAAATTTTTCTCCCTCTAGTCCTAAAAATACTTTGATATTGAAAAGGAGATGCTTTCATCTAGGAGCAAAGGGGACAATATTGAGAAGGGGATATAACTCTGAAAAGGTCTGTATTAAATTAAAAGGGGTAAGGACCCTTACCTTGGCGAGATCCTCGTGGAATCCTCCCTGCTTTTGCCTGCCAGACATGGAGAAGATGGGGGCCTGAGGTTTACCGCTCTCCTTGGTAGTACCCAACATCGGAGTCAGTGTGTAGTTGTTGGGAGCTATAATTAGACATTATACAACTTAGAATTTCAAAGAATTTTCAAAGATTCTTTTAATTTCTACATGACTGGTATATTATAGATCAAAACTACATCTTTCATGTTGGCTATATAGAAGATTAGTGTATTGATTTGAATTCAAATCAGATTACCAAATAAACCAAACAAACTTTTTTTGCCTTTATTTGATATGGTTAATGGCAACAAAGCTATGATAAATAGGCATCTTATGATCTCAGTGGAAGTCCTTTCCAATAGAGACAAATTACTTTTATTGACATTCAAGTCAACAGAGCCAATAATAGAATACAACCTGGAGTGTCGATCCACAAAATCAATGACTAAAACCAAATCAAGAATCTATCATGCCATATTACCTGGCGTTAATGCGTTCAATTTTTCTATAGGTACAAATACCCCCCAAACCATTACGAACACAATCAAAAATGATAACGGTTTTGTGTGTATCAACAGTATTTGAGATAAATTCTCTTTCATTATGAGTATTTTTTTTCCATTGTGACTGCTAATACATATTTGCAAGATTATTTGAAAGACCTCCCCCCCCCCCCCCAATGATAATATAAAATAAGAATCTGAAAAGGAAGCCTACCCTTATTATATCCAATTCCCAAACAGATTTTTTATGTACTAACATCTAATTAATACTTTTCTCCCTGATAACTGTTGACTGTAAATTTTAATTTCTCTATAAGTAAATTACATGAAAGTGCTAGTTTTCATTATAAACACCTGTATATTCTTACCAGGTGTGTTATCTGTTCTCCTGTTTCTGTGGCGAGTTCCGAAGCTGTAGGCAGGGTGGCGGAAGTGAGAGGTAGGTCCTGAGCCCTCAGGGCTGTAGGCACCAGGGCCAGGCACTTTAAACATGGTTCCATCCTTTTGTCGGCTGTAGAGAGAGTAATGTGGAGTTCCATCATTTCCGTCCCTGTAGACTTTGGGGTTGGGGTAATAGCAGGGACCTGGACTGCAGTCGTCCCTGAATTTTCCATGGCGAACACCGAAGGGGTAAGAAGCAGCTTTGTAGTGAACACTACGGGGGTCGTGGGATTTTTGTCCGACTAGGCCTGGAAGTCCGTAACAGGGGCCAGGGCTGCTGTACATAGCAGCAATGGGGCCACGGGGTTTTGTATAATTGTAAACCATGGTTACTAAATTCAAAATCTACACTGACTCACTGAAACCTATAATGAAAAACAAAATTGAAAATTAGTTTAACACGTCCATGCTTTTTTAATGTATATATTTTCCACAAACTCATGCATGGTCTTGAATAAATAAATCAAAACCTTCAAGTTGATAATTTAAACCCAATTGCTCTAAGTATCTTTCTTATCAAAATGACAATCTTGGTATTTAAGATGTCAAATTACATTAGACATAAAAAAATCTCCCATGTTTATGTAAATTGAATTGATCCATTCAACTCAGAATCCAATGCAGGTAATTTTATGGGGTAAAAAATGTTCCAAGGTAGAGAAAAGAACAGTTTCTATGATTAATCAATATTCACACCTGAAGACTTCAAGTAAGAGAAATAAAAATGCATACCTTAACCAAAAAGGAGCAGTTTCCAATATGGTTAATTAAAATCCCCAAAACTTAAGTTTCACAAAGAAAAAAAAGTCCTAGGGAAATATATCTTATTTCCTCAATCCTCACAGCCAGAAATATATTTAACTGTTTTGTGTTGGTTATATTGTTTGCACCTATGGCTCCCCAGCAACCAATGGCTAGGCCAATGCAAGTAACGGCTTTGGGTTTAAATGGACGGTATTCAAGAAAGAACCTGCACGTCACAGACTTTAAAAACTTAATCAATAGCTGATTAAAGCTCTCAGCAAAAAATACAATACAATTTAATATTGATTATCAAGTAAAAATCTTCATAACAATGGCATTTAACAACCAGTATGTATATATGATGCAAAGTAAATCTGTTGGAATTAATTTTGATATTTATGCATGTGCCATAAGTTTAAATTGTCAAATTGTTTTAGGCACTGTCAATTTTTAAAGAAATTATTTACTATTTTCATTTAATTTTTTTTTTTTTACTAGATTGGTGAAATTTAAAATTCTGATCAATTACAATAATAAACATTGTCAGTGTTTGTTTGAATAAAATCTTGTCTGTAATGTGGTTATTATCTTTTCACATATGGTACAATATTGAATTCATATTTGCTTTAACTTAGTGATCTGCAGACATTATTTGAATATATGGAACTTTTGTTTGCTTATCTTTTTCATGAATAATTTGATGGAACATAAAAATAAATACAATTGAAAAACAAATTGAAAGCCAAATAAAAAAATAAAATGAAAAAGAGAGAGAGTTCTCAAGAATGGATAAATTTCATCTTTAGTCCATGTGTTTTTTTTTAAGTAGACAGATCTATCAATCAATTGATAAAAATAAACTTTGAAAACTGTGAAGAGAGGTCAAAATACTCTCAAAATTTAATGCCAGTGATATGAAAAAAAAATTCCGGTTACATGTGTTTCATGTAACCAGACATTTTTTTTCAGATAAAAGATAACATGGTGACATTTTCTATTGAAAAAGACCTTAACATTTAAGAAAGCCAAATACCTATGTCCTGATCTGTTTCTTAGCAAAACTGGGTTACCAGTTCAATTTGTTCATGTTAGGATCTCATTGAAAAGAATCAGTTTATCAAATATTCAAGTATTTGGTTGTTGCAGTATTGCAGGTTCCTTGTAGGTTTACAGTTGAAATGATTTAACAGTGTGTGCTTGTGCATGAGACCAATACGAATTTTTCAATTATTATGTAAGTTTATCACATATCTTTTGGTTAGACTACATAGAATGTAAATTTTGGTTTCATGTCTATTTAACTGAAGATGTTTAACAAAATTTCACATATCCTGTCATTGGGGGGGGGGATGATTTGGCATTAAAAAGAATGTTGGAGGGGGTAGAAAGGAAGAGGGAGAAGGAGGAAGAGGAATTAAGGGAAGAATGGGAGAGAAGAAAGAGAGAAAGGAAAAAAATGGGAGATAAGGGAAATGGTAAGGGTAATGTAACCATTATATCATTTTCCTTTTTTTAAAATCACTCTTAAGTTTGAACTTAAAGAACATTCGCAATATATTCTCCTCTGTTTTCTTGTGATTAAACAACTTATAGTGAGTGCCCTCACCAATACAAAACACCCCTCCCCTCTTATTCTGTAGAAATCCATTATCATTTGGATTAATTAAGACATCTGCATATGCTGTGATTGAGACATTAGTTATGTGAAAAACAATGATATTGCTACCCTTGCCCCTTATATTTACCAACTTTCCTTAAATCTCTCTTTAACAATAACCTAATTATAACTAAAAAAGTTTCATTGATCATCACACCTTAATTTGTAACTTGTGTTGAAAATTGTACAATAAAAAAAAGTTAATTTGCGTATTTAATTAACACAGCATTCTGTCATATCATATTCTATTCTTATGAGTGAAAGGATGTGGACATTTTTGTCATACTGATAGGCAACAAATAATACAGATCTATATTCAAAACCTTCATCAAATATTTCATTCAACAGATCTCTCGCAATCTTTTACCAAGTCCATTGCTTGGTTTAAAAAGTATACCTATTTCGAATCCCTACTTTTTAGACATTGTGGTAATTAAACCCACCTTTTACTCCTGACATCAAGTAACCAAAATAAGACTTATATATGTATCATCAAAAAAGACTCTTGGCTGTTCAACTTATTTTTAGAATGAATAAATAGCTGCTATGAAGCTGACATGACTTTGAGAATCAGATGCAAAGACATAGTACATGTAGCATATTAACACGAAAACACTGACATCTGAATATGTCAAAAGAATACTGCTAATTAATATTCTTTTCAAATAGAAAGTTTTGCTTTGGCAGTACCTGGACAACTATTTAGCATTATATAATACAATCCTCCCCATATTATGGAAATAGTGTGTGTCTACATTTTAAAACACAAATTACAATTCAATATGCTTGACTACATTAAAACTTCAGGTAATAAACATTATGATACATGTTGAATGAGATCAATAAGTCTAACAACTGAAGCTAACATTGACATTTTCTTGTATATTATATACCAGTATTCTAAAACTAGGCAAGCATGTATATTAAAACTTTGCATTAATGATTTTCTTCTGATGTACAGTGATTTTTTTTTAAACCCATGAGGACATACAATTGCCATGCATGACTTAAAATGGGTTAAAAAATGGAGTGAGAAGAAATTTAGAAAACATGCATGAGACACAGGAAACATACTTCAATCTGGCTAGAAAGCTGGTCAGCATAACACATCAAGTTAATTTAGCATGTTCATTGTGTGGTCTATGGAAGATTTTTAGAATAACAGTAACATACACGTTTTCTCTGAGTATACTATTAATTTTTTTTCAACGATGTTTCATCCATAATCCATACCTTCCATAATCAAAGATTCTACATTCGAATTGATTCTTGCACTAGGCCTATAGATATAACGTGTCTTAAAACGCGGAAACATATATATATCCTACTTTACTTTTGATATATGGAACACAACGTAATAAAATATGCCATTTGTATGACAGTGCAAAACAAACTTCTCGAAAAATCTCCACAAGATTTTTCGATAGCAGATTCTAAATCAAACAGTTAAACGGTCTATGAACAGTGACTGCATGAGCAATGCACCTCGGTTGTAATAAATTCTGAATTTGTGACCTGGTGACAAACTCACCTCTTGATGGCGGCTGAGTGAGATCCTAAATAAAACAACCCACCTGTCTTATCTTCTTTTTTCGCAAAAGGTTGTCAGACAAACAGACCAACGTCACGGCAGAAGGCACGTGTTGTGTATCGCAAAAAATGATTGGTAGACAGCTAAGCAACGCTTCCCTAGCGACCTGAAAGACAAGGGACGTAACTCAAATGCCGATATCGATTTTAGAGTTACCTGTCCCTTAATCATTAGTACATTTGCACGTCATGTCGAAGAATCATTGACTATAATATTTTTGAATACACAATCAACAGAATTGCAATATGCCAGTTCTCTTTACTGACGGACCAGATTATGAATAGAACGCAGTTAAAACAGAAATTGTTTCTTTCTTCTTTTTTTTTTTTATTAATATTGTAGAGGACTCTCCCTTGTGCCTACATGTACGTCCTTTTAAAACGAACCAGTGCGATGATGCTTGCAAGACTTGTTGAAGACCCAGCACTAGAAATACCCTTTAATATGTTTAATGTGAATAAAATAAATATTAGTCTCATTTAGTTAAACACTATCATTCGACCTTTAAATAAAGGTACAGTACAAAGTAGTACAAGAGGTATCTGAGCGGAAAAGACTACCCCCTCCCTTTTTCCAATAATAAATTTAATATTAATCTAGAAATGGTCTTAATAAGGTATATATTTTCTTTCTTCTTAGAAATGATGAATGATAATTCATTTATTAGCTTGTAATCTTAAATATGTTAAATTGACACATATATATAATTTTTAATAAATTCTTGTCCAATGAAATTTTCTTCTTTCAATTATTATTGAAATTCAGTTCATAGGGTGAAAAAATAAAACAAAATCAAATTCAAATTTGTTGGTATGTTTACTCTTTAAAATGTAGAAATTTATGTACATAGAAAGTGACCATTAGTGTTAAATCTAAACAAAGTCTGACATCTGGCAAGTAGTTCACAATACATAATTAATTACAAATTGACACATGTCCATAATCTTTTTATCGTCATTTTGGCACTATTGTTCGATAAATATCATGCATAATATACAAAGAAAAATAGACATCAGAGTGCAAAAAATTGTAAATGGGAGATCAAGCATTAAGTGAGACAAACAGAAAGAAAAATCATAAATGTTCTAAAGAAAGAAATTAATATGGGGGATAGTGAGAATAAAAATCATCTACATTCTAAACAATGTGATAGAGACAAAATACTTGAGATCAAAAAGAGAAGTAAAGTTAACAAGAATTGGTGTAATTTTTTTTAGACATTATAATGTTTGGGGCTAAATATAAATACTGCTTGCTTTATACAAATATATATACAATATCACATGTAATAAATAAATTGCACTAGAGACAATGAACCCTGCATTGTGGAAGCATTCGTTGTGATAAAGATTTATATAGCACCATTCTTTAACCGATTTACAACATTCCAATGAAATGTTTGGCATACAGCTCGGGATGACATTTCTGGAACTGTCGCAAGCGCTGTTTCTTTTCTTTGAGGGTAAAATTCGTGTTGTCAAGGATTCCATTCATCATGGAGACCAGAGCTGTGTTTGTACACTCAGTGGCCTGTTTTTGATATTCATCTGTTGTGACTTGGCTGCAGTAGGCATTATCTGAAATGATTCAAAACATTATGTTTAATTCTATCATTCAAACTACTTCTGTATGAGATCCAGATTATAGAAAAAATTAAAACCTAAAAAAAAAAATATTTGTTCAATGCTTCAGATCAATTTGCTATATTTCTTAAATATACCAGTACACTGGATTGCTCGATATGGATTCTCAAGTCAACTTCATGAATTTTAAAAATATCAATTTTTAGAACATTTCAGTTTCCTAGAAATTTCATCGTTAAGTATGTGAAAGCAAAAATATTTTTTATGGATTGAGTGTTATACAAAACAACACATCTAAATAATTACTGCAAGAGAAGAATATAAAACCAACCTCTAACAGGGGACACTTCTCCTGTCTTCAGATCATTCATACGAGTGACAACTCGATCCTTAATCTCCTTGGGAACAGTAAAGATCCTTTTGAGATTCTTCATCAGGAAGAGGACCAGAACTCTGGCAAGTTTGTGAGCCAGCACTTTGTGTTGAATGATGCAGTCTGTGAAAGTGTCTAATGCCAGTGTCTCATTGTTCACCTACAAGAAAAGGACAGAACATTAAAACTCACATATCTTAAGTTAGGTTTACATAAAGGAATATCACTATACTAGAAATATACACTTCAGTTATTTGTAACATATTTCAAATCTCAAAGAGGAATAGCAGAAACATATGTTTTAATAAAAGAAAAAAATTAGAAAATGTTTTCATTAAATAAGGGTTTACCTTAGAATCAACAGAGAAATCTGTCATCTCAGCACACGCTGTCATAAACTTGAGCAGACGTCGCAGTTCCTCTCTAATATGCCACGGTAGAATGATCAGATCTAACTGAAGAGCTTCTATAGCCATCTCATGCTTCTGTTGGATGATGAAATTCAAAATGGCCAGGTGAACTTCAATAAAATTTTCTGGCATCAGAGAATTTGCCTGAGATTTGTAGTGTCCGCTGAGGACATGGAATGCTTGGATCTTGGCTGCAGGGTTCTGTCCCCTGACAAAGTCTTTTTCTAGCACTAGTAAACCTTTGGGAAGACACTCGATGCAGTTGAGGGCTGTTCGCATGAAGGGGTCTGTAATGTTGTTGATGCCCACACTGTTGTAATGTTTGGAGACAGAGTTGGTGATCATGTTCTGTTTGACCATCTTCTTACTGGATTTCTGGTCTGATAACAAACCCTCCAGAAAGGGGATCTCTACAATGGTTAGAAGCTGACACAGGGCAACCTCTCTCCAAAGAGACTCCATTACTAAAATTAAGAAAAGGAAAAAAATATGAAGTAAAAACCTTTACATTCATTACTTTAATCTAAAAATATATTTCATTTTTTTTTGCATTTTACTGGGTTTCATTGTGTCTGATAATTACGGTAAATTGTTGATTTTACTTTGTTTGTTGTACCTATTGAAATATCAAGACTGAATTTTAATTTCTAAACTTGACTCTTGAAAAGGAAAGTCTAACCTATACTTTTTTTGTAAGTGCAAAAAAAACCCTTCATGTCAAACTTGAAAAATTTAGTTACCTTCTGGAGTAAGCGTTGAGTCCCTGCAGCTATTTCTAGACATGATGGAGGTGTCTGACTTGAGTGAGCTGCGGCTTCTGCGGCGGGTAAAGGACTGATGAAGGGAGATAATCTCCTGTAGCACTTGTCCTTTCTTGTTTACAGCAATAGGGTTACAGATGACGCTGTCATCCAAATTCCCTTCCTGGTCCACTTCTGGATTCAGTCTAAAAATACATTGAAAGTTTAATGATTAAAAACACTTATAAGACTGCTTTATTCAAAATTCTTCAGTCTATGCCAGAAAAAATATGAGTTAAAATTATTTTCATATTATGTTATTTTTTTCTGTCTTTTTAAAACTGTATCAAAATTTAAACTTCCAAGCCTAATATATTTTTTAGATGTTATTCTGAATTCAAAGTTATTATTTATCACAATATGATAAAACATATTAAATTTAGAAATGAATCTGTTCCACAAGAACTTCAAGCCCCCCTCCTCCCTTCCAATGTGTGTCCCCTTATTCCTTACCTAATGGACTGGTTGCCACGGCAATCCTCCATGATAGAATAATCATGTTCTTCATCTGATGAGCTGGTCTCTATGATGGTTGAGTTTGAGTTTTCATGGTTCTCTGGAAGATCCATGCCTACAAATCTGTACAGCTTGTTGTGGCTATCATCAAACGTTTTCTTGATCTCACTTGTACGGTTACTGATTGAGCAGAAAACCTGTCGGTCCATCAAAGACTGGCAGAGCTGTTAAAAATATATAGAGATGAAATTTATACAGAAATATTTTCATCAAAAAGCTCTAGATTATAGTAACAGCAAAAGGGGAATAACTCAATTTCAGTCACCATCATGAAAATTGAACTGTAGTATATTTATCCATCTATGATAATTATATATATAGTTTTCAAGCTTTAAGACTTTCATTCAATATATATTTTTTTCAAAATGATAAATTGACTAAGAAATAGTGTATGGTACATATTTACAGAAATAAGATCCCCCTCCCATATATTTTTTAAGGAATGATCACAGGCAATATATACCTTGACAGCTTTGTCTCTGGACAAGTCTGTACTAAATGTGTTTTTCTCGCTGAGGAGGTAAGTCATGACGACATCTACAGCGTGAGCCCCTGAGAAGGTGTTGTCATACGTCTTCATTTTGTAGCGACGTCGCTTAACCTCAACATGAATCTTTAAGTGGTCGATAATTTCATTCCATATCTGAGTAGCCCTAAATGGCCCTGAAAATAAAAAGAGAATTTTTGTTTTAAAATTTCACACAATTTTTTTTTATATATATCAAGAACTTATGAATTTTTTCCATATCAACTGAATGAAACATATGTTAAACCCCAAGTAAATTTACACAGATAGTTAAAATTAAGTAACTAATAATTACCAATATCAAATCATGTTTTAAATTAGAATTTTTTTCATTATAATCATTTTTCTCCAAGATCAACAATGAAAAAAAATCTATATAAATAATCTAAAAAAAATATCCCTTTAAAAATATAATAATTAGCTATTTTCTTAGTTTCTTTACCTCTGCAAGTTTTGAATATTTCCCCAGTCACATTGAGGCTAACATCCCCAATAGTTCTCGTCATGATTGCAGTTTTCAAGTAAATGTTTCAAATGACTCAAAAAAAGCAAATATATATATTTCAGAAATCAGATTCTGTCAGTCCAGTTTTCCCACACCCATTATATACCCCCCTCCTGTGTGTTTACTTAGAGTCAGTAGCACTGCTAGTAATGAAATACTCCCCTCTCATTGTGACACCCTAATTACTATAAAAACAATACCAACTGTCCATGGGATTTTTTTTCTTTTGAGTTGTGTTTGTTTAGCACCCTTGTTTATTTAGCAGATCTGGTTAATTTGGGCATATTAAAGTCTTTATCAGATTCTTAACTGAGAGTATTTGTAGAACTTATGAACTT